AAATTGTGTGGAACACAACTGTGTAAATTATACCCATATATGAATATATGTAAAAACAAAGTATGAATTAAACTCTAGCTAAGAATATTATAAGATGTTACCCTTGGAAAAAGCTGGATATACACAAAACTGTATTATTCTGCAACTTCCTGTGAGTTTTTATTTATTTCAAAATAAGATATTGTAAAGGCAAATGTAAATCTACAGTTACTTCAAACTAAAAAGTTTAATTATACAAAAATGGTTCAAGTGGGAAGCAGTTTAATACATATGGCAATTTAAATAAGGAAATGTTAGCGTTTCAGAGATTCAGCTAGTGTCAGCCCACATAAAATAATAATGATATGAAAAACTTTGAGAATCCCTATACTTGGGAGGCTGAGGAAGGAGGATTGTGAATTTGAGGCCAGGCCAGCTACATGGTGAAATCTTACCTCAAAAAACAAAGCAAGTGGACTGGTGGAGTGGTTCAAGTGGTAAAGCACCTGCTTAGTGAGTGTGAGGCCGTGAGTTCAAACCCAATACTGCCAAAAAATAGTCCAAGACAAAAGAAAACAAGTACCTGTAGCTTCAAATATCAGAACAATTATTTACAGAAGAATGTCATATGATATTCTCAATATGACAAAATTATAGAGATGTAGAATAGATAAGTGGCTTCCATGGTTGAGAAATGGGAGATAGGGCATGGGAAATGGGTGATAAGGGAGCAGCATTAGGGTCTTCTTTTATGGTGATGGTCATTTTCTTGATTACATTTGTGGCTATGCACATTTATATATCTATTATACAGAATAATAATCCATACTAATCTAAGCTGCAGGATGCCACTCACTATGAAATCCAAAATACACGAGGCTTGAAATCACTAATCACAGTCCTGTGTGAATAAGTAAAAAGGTTAATGTTAATATATCGTGACAGTCTCACTGGAAATAATTATTATATTTCCCCCATTCCAACCATCATTTTGCTTCTCATAATAAAGATGATTCAAACAAAACAAAGCAGACATAGATTGGACTGCAGGCTTCAGGGTTGTTACTTAGGTCCAGGATGGTGTAAGGATCCAACCACTGCAGACCTGGGTTATTGGAGGCTCTGAGGACCCTGTCTCCTGGGCATCCTTCTGAGCTTTCCCACCCTAGGAATGCAGTGAGGAATATTGTTGTATGTGCTGAGTCAAAGTCAAGCTTACTCACTGTCAGGGAAGGCAGGCATCATTCCTGGGGAACCACAAGAAGAGGAAGCAGAGCAGGTTGTGGAGGATAGAGGGAGGTAGAGAGAGCCCAGGCTCTAGGAATACTTGGTCAGCAGCAGAGGTGATGGGTGGTTCACTATATGTCCTGCAGGGACTGATAAATAAGAAGCTAAGAACTGCCAGAAGATGGTCAAAAGAGACATGGTGGGTGGTGGGTAGTCTGGATGGGGTCCTCTAGGAAGACAATAAATAGCTCACCGGGTGCTTGGAAGGAGATGCCAGAAGTTTAGCTCCTGTGAGGAACAAAAAAGACCTAGAGAGAAACTTGCCTATACACGTGCATATACATACATTCACAACGCTGAGTTATTTGACTATGTGGATAGAGATGTGTGTTACCAAGAGAGAGAAAGAGAGACAGGCAGAGAGTACAGAAAAAGACAGATTTTGTGAGTTTCTCTGTGGGTTTTCTCTCTTTATATTGAAAGAAATAAAACAGTAATCCATACAGAAAACTTGATTGAACATCCAAGATCTAGCTGGGTCTAAGAAGATTCTTTCTTTTTGTTTTTTAAATTAGTAGATTTTATTTTTTAGAGAAGTTTGGGATTTATAGAAAAATTGATCAGGAAATACAGTTATTAAATTATGAAGTTATTTATAAAATGATTTAGTTTTTGTGTTACTACATTTTTTGCAATTTATGAACATATCAATACATTATTAATAACTAAAGTCCATAGTCTACCTCACAGTTCAGTTTTTTCATGTATATTCTATGGATGACAAATGTTTATTGACATATGTCCATCATTACTGTCTGGAATGCAAGAGTTTACTTCTTGGTGAGTGCAAAGCCCAAAAAAGCACATCCAAGAAATTAGAGTAAAGGAAGATTTACTACCTGCAGCAGATAAAGACAGCATGGGTGTTATTATCAAAGCAATGCCCTCTCGGAACAAAGGAAGCTTGAGGATTTTATTTTATTCTGGGAGACTGTAAATATTCACATAGGAAAACATTTTTTGGTGGGAATATTCCCAAGCATACTCAATTTTAGGTTATAGTTCAAGAAAGATGCAGACACATGTTTGGGCATCCTTAGTTGAAGGTTGTGGAGCACATGCTCCAAAGTTTAAAATGGCAGACAAGAATACTTTTGGGCATGCTCACTTTGTGTCATAAAGTTTTAGCTAAAAAAAGAGGAAAGAACTTTTTGAAAATGCTTTCCTCACTTGGTGGCTAACATTACTGCTTTGTACAGTGTAATTTCACTGTCCTAAACATTATTTGTGTTCTTCCAGTTGACTCCTGCTTTCTGAAGCTATAGCTACTACTGGTTTTTTTGGTGTCTCCACAGTTTTTCCTTTTTAAAAATGTCATGTAGTTAGAATCATTTAGTGTAACTTTTTCAGGTTGACTTCTTTCACTTAGTAATATGGATTGAATTTTCTTCCATGTCTTTGTGGCATGACAGTTCATTTGTATTGCTGAAAAATATTCTAGTGTTAAAATTTTTCAATGTTATTTATCCATTCATCTAATAAAGGAATCGTAGTTACTTCCAAGTTCAAGTTATAAATAAAGCTTCTGTAAATATTTATGCATAGAGTTTTATAAGTTTTCAGCTTATCTGGGTAAATATCATGGAACAAGCCTGCTGGATTGTATGGTAAGTGTATGTCAAGCTTTGTAAGAAACTGTTGTACTGTCTTCCAATATGACTGCATTGTTTTTCATTCCCACCAGTAATGAATTGGAGTTCCACTTCCTCAGTTTGTTGATGGCCACAGATAATTTGTTGGGGTTTGGATTAGGATTGCTGAAATCTGTACATCAGGTTTGAGAAAACTAGCATCTTAATGATATTGAACTGTCTATCCTTGAACATGGAATAGCTTTCCATTTATTTAACTCTGATTTCTTTCATCAGCATTTTATACTCTTCCTCATTTAGGTTTTGCATATATTTTCTTACATATACCTAAGTATTTTGATTTTCGTGCTAAGTAAATAGTATTGTACTTTTAATTTCTTTTGAATTTTGTTTTTGAATTTATTTCTTTATATATTCTGCCTTATCTATTTAGATAAATCTGTCTTAACAACCACTTGATAACATGGTGGGACGTAGCTCCCCAGAGAAAGAACTGTATTTTATTTGGCAAAATATGCTAATGAGCCATTTTGACTGTGTAAAAAATTGCCTCTGATAAATGGACTAGGAGGGAGAGAAAGAAAACATTAATCTTTCATATTTGCAGGGAAGGTGTTGATGAGCAAATAGGCAGAAGGAGGTGGGGTGGGGGAGGGTACAGGGTCTTTCTATAAAGTCAGGCTGGTGTCAAACCTACCATCCTCCTGCCTCAGCCTCCTAGCCACTGGGTTTCTAGTTGTGAGCCTCTGAACCTAGCTTCCTTTAACTGGATAACTGGGAACTCCAATCACTGCATCCCTTCCACCTTATGCCCAGGTGGTGCTGTCTATGCTTTCCTCCCTGGCAGCCTCACCTCTGCAACCTTTCCTCTCACAAGATCCCTGAGGAATCTGTTGCAGAGAACATTTGGAAATGTGCACACTGGACAATTGTGTACGGAGCACAAGTAGGTATGAGGGACCATTCTAGGTTCTGGGGGAAAGGGATAAACACCTGTGCTCCGGGAACAGCTGCTATAATGAGAGAATATACCCCATATTCTCTCCTATACCCTGTACTGCTCACTGAGCCTGGCACACCATTAACAGCCGGGAAATCCCACATGGGTTACTGACTGAAGGATGGAATGACTGAGTGTACCCTACTGTGGGAACCAAACTTCTACCCTTCTCCTGGGAATTTCCCAGGGTGGGGTCCTTGAGCCCCTGGGGGGTTCTGTTGATACTGGGTTGGCCAAGAATGTCCAAATAACCCTGCACTTCTAAGCAGGGTCTGGGTAGTACTGAGCTCTTGGACCTTTGCTAGGGAGGAGAGACTTCTTAGAGGAGAAAACCAGGGCCCAAGAAGGGGATACTCCCAAAAGATCACCTCCCTATCCACGAAGTCTGGCATGCTGAAACCCTGGGCTGAGAGTCAGTGTGCCCCATCCCTTACTAGTAGATGGGCTTAGAAAAGCCACTCCTTTCCCTCCCCCAAGAATATCATTTCCTCTGTACAGAAAGAGGGGATTAGGTGATTCCAGGCCCTCTTCCGATGACAGCCACATTCTGAAGTGAGGGAGGTTGGAAAAATGGATGGGGCACATCCTGGAAATGGCCAAGGACATTGGTTTTCCCTCTGAAACATCTTCCCCAAGGACATGTCAGTGTGCACAGCTGAAGGAAGAAGTCTACAGAAGGAGGCCATTTGGGCACTGGATGCCTAGGAGTAGCTGTCAGCTTGGGAATCATGAAGACCCAGGTTTCAAATCCCAGTTGTTTTTTCATGAATAAAACGGACAAAACACAACCTGCCTCTCAGAATGAGCGTGTGGGGGAACAATGTGAAAGGGCATAGCCACCCTTCTCCCCCAATAGGAGCCTTCTCCCAGGCAACCATTCCCAAAGAAGCTCCAGCACCCAGCCCAGAGCTGGAAACGAGCAGGTGCTGCCCCCTGGTGGATGTGTTTGTCACTGCCTGGTTCTTCCTGAAAAGTGCAGTAGAGAGTGAAATTACTCAGGTCCCTTCCTCTTCCTCTTAACCTTCCTTTCTGACAAGGACACTCCTACAGTGTGAGGCTGGGAAACGCACTTCCCTCAATTTGTTTGTGTGAGATCAGATTAACTGCAATCACATTTCCATGTATTTACTGAGGGCCTAATAATGGACCAAGGTAATGCTGAGGCAGGAGGCTGCTGGGGAGGTTGTGAAGAGCTGGGCTGCAGTCACCTTCCAGTACCTGTGGGAGGTCCGCGTGGGGACAGACGTACCGTGCCCCCATTTGCCCAGCAGCCTAAAGTTCAGGAAGGCCTTGATGGGATCAGTGGAGTTGGATGGTCAGCAAGAAGGAGCAATGGAAGCCCAGGAGAGGTGAGGTTGCCCAGGAAGCAAGGTGGGGGAAGAAAAAGGTTTCCTTGACAGCGACCTGCTTATCTCCACGTTCAAGGGAGGAAATGACATGAAGGAAATGAGAAGCAGTATCAGCAGAGGCAGAAGGGAAACCACAAGACTTTAAAAGGCCACAAAACAGCAATGTCCCCCACAGCATCCATGTCCCCTCTCTGGTGTCCCCCATCTTCCCCTACACCCCACACCTGGCCAGTAGCCTCTAAATGCTTCTCTGATTCAGTTCATTGTGCACATTACAACCATTGTTTTGTTCACCCAACAAACGTTTGTTGAGCACCTCCTACACTTGGGCAAGGGCTGTCATACACAGTTAAGTACCTATGAAGGTCACAGCCCTCATTGAATTCAGATTTCATGGGGAAGATAAAGGATTTCCCCCAAAGAGTGCCGAATGGTGTAGATGCTACAAATAAAGGGTGCAATAAAAAATACAGAAAGGCTACTGATCAGACTTGGAGTGAGGTGCAGAAGGGGCCTTAAGGAAAGCGTCTCCAAGGAGGTGACACCCACGCGGAGTTGGGTCAGTGCGAGCAGCGACCAGAGGAGGAAGAAGGGAACGGAAATGAGTTCGGCACCGTTTGTTTGTAGATGTGCGCATAGACTCAGGTGCTGGCGTTGGAGAGCTTCCCTCATCCTCCCTGGCAGAGACACCCACACCCTTCCTACGCCGGCCGGACTCCGAGGGAGCCCTCCTGCGACAGGTAGAAGTGGTCTTCCGACGCTGGGAGTTTATTGTGCGTGTGGCAACCCTGTCTTTCTTGACCACTCGCCGCCTGGAAGCTCCTTCCCACAGACCCCTCTTACCAATGGGGAAGTCACTCCCAGCCAGCCTGAGCTCCCTATGCTTTTAATTTCAATTCCAAATGTTAACTGCTTATGTGGGGAAGCAATTGACCTTTGTATGTAAATCTTTATTACTGAAATATTATTATAATTGATTATTAACTCCAGAAGCTATAAGATTAATTTTGTGAGATTTTCTGATGCTATCTGTGAACAGTGAGTTTTATTCTTCTTCCCATTTTGTTTACCTTTTATTTACTTTTCTTATTTTGTTGCATTAACTAAGACTTCTAATATGCCATGTAGTTTTTGTTTTGAAATTTCAAAATGTTTTAATTGAACAACAAAAAATACAACTTGACTGGGGATGTAGCTCAGTGTTAGAGTACGTGTTTAGCATGTATAAGGCCTTGGGGTTTATCTCCAGCACCTCAGAACAACAATGATAAACCCCCAAATTTATTAAATTTTGTGGGATGTAATAAAAGCAGGGAGGAAATTTATCAAATTTAAATAGTTATGTTAAACCAGGCTTGGTTTCACAGCTGTAGTTCCTGCTATGCAGAAGGCTATGAAGACTACTTTGGTGACTCAAACTGGCTAGTCTCCGCACAGCTCTCTACATGGGTAGGGTTAATCCCAAACTGCAGCAGAACGGGGATGAAGTCAACAGGGCCTCTTCCAGTTTGCTGTGGAATGAAGGCAGACAAGCCTGTCCTGGTATCTTACAAAAGTAAGCTTCTCAGTAGATCCCTGCACCTTTGGGATAATTTCCTGACTTTGGTTAGAGGGCTGACACTGAGACAGACACCCTTTAAGATCTTCTGTGGGATCACCTGTTCCAAAAGCTCTGAGAGCCAGTTTCATTCTGGGTTCTGGTGTAAGCTGGGGCCACAGGTGACTGGAGCTGGGGCTAAGTTACAGGGTAATTTTCAGGTCCACTGTTGACAATGTCAGTAGGTGGACAGGCCTTTCTGCTGAGGCACTGGTGTGAATGAGTCCCTCTGGATCCCTTATTAGAGCCTTTTAGGTTTTAGGTTCAAGATCAAATGGAGCTGAAGCCACCTTTGTGAGAATGAGTTGTTTCCAGGTTTGAGTCCAGGATCATGACAGGCAGGTCTGTGACCTGACTGCATGTCTACTCTATCAAAATGACTTTCTTTGCTCTTGGGGCTCTAATTAATGTTTTACAATCTTCTACCACAATCCCAAACCTTCTGCAAGACATCTGAATCTTGCTGAATGCAGAATTTTTGTTGTCATGGGAATACAAGTAGTTACCTCTATTCCACCACTTCCTGACATCACTCTTCTCCCTGTCTTTGAATGTGTTTTACTACATTAAAACCAAGGCATATCTGGCTTTTCTAATCACTATGAGCTACCTTTTGTTTTATGTTTCAGCAAAGCAATCAAATATTTAAAGGCCTTTTTACTCTCTGACCTGCAATATTAACTGCAGAATCTTTGCTTAGTAAAAAGTTGATTTTCCAGTTTCCTCATAAGTTAAAACTAGACGTCCCATATGATCCAGTCATACCACTTCTAAGTATATATCCCAAAGAATCAAAGTCAGCTTACTATAGAGATAATTATATGCCCATGTTTATCACAGGACCATTCACAATAGTCAAATAATGGAATCAGCCTATGTGCATATCAATGGATGATTGGATAAAGAAAAACATGCTATCTACCTATCATTATATCTATATCTATCTATCTATCTATCTATTTATCTATCATCTACCTATCTAACTTACTCTGCCATTGAGAAGAGTGAAATCATGTCATTCTCTGAAAAAATGAATTGAACTCTAGATCATCATGTTATATTCACGTATCACATGCTTTCTCTTTGTTGTGGAAGCTGGGGTGAAACAAACAACAACCCAAACCACCAAATGATGAAAGTAAAAGGGGACTGCTAGGGAGATAGACATGTAAGAGAAAGGAGGAAAAGAGGACAAGGAAAAATAATAGAGGGGTAAATATGATCAAAGTACATTAAATGTGTGTATGTAAATGTCATGATGAAACTCATTACTATGTGCTATTTAATATATCACTAAAAGCTGAACTCCCTGCCTCACAGGTGGTGGAGTGGGATTTGCAGGCAGGAAGTGGGAAGGGGTAGCCCCCACCCAGAAGAGTCATCGGCCCCTCGTACCTATAATTCATCCCTGGCTGCTATTATTAAAGTCAAGACATTAACTGGGAAATATGGGATCTTAGGGAATGTATGAAGACAATATATTAATAAATTTGGGCTGTCCAACTTTATGTTCTTTCCACCTTTATTCTACTCCTTTAGTGTGTATTCTCACACATGTTCCCCAAATTTATATCTATGTCAATTAGAAGTTTCAAGTAGTTCATTTGTAGTGTAATGTACTTGCTTACATTAAACCTAATACATTGAACCTCACTTTAGAGGCCTGATGGTGAGACAATTGGAACTATGCAAAATGGGAACAAAATGATAGATACTGGAAAGGGGCCCTGCACAAATCAGACCTGTTTTGCTTTTACACAGCAAGTCCAAACAAGGACATAAGTGGAAACTCAAGGCCCACATGCAGCTCAGAGTTAAAAGCGGAACAGTCCATTCTACCCGCACAGGTACAGGCCAGGCTGCCTCCTGTGACTCTGCCTTAATCTCCAAGTCAAGCTCATTAATGAGCTGCCTACAGTTTAGTTTAGACATTGACCAGTAGGGACAGAGATTGAAAGTTTCAATCTCTCTTTCCATGGGGATCTGACACTGACTAGTCAGAGCTAGATTCTGTAAGTTTAAATTCTATTGGCAGGATTTTTTCCTATGTAAGATATCCCTTTTCCTTTGTTCAAGAGTTGCAGGCCTGAATAGCTCTTGATAAGAACTTCATCTTCCGCTTAGCTCCAGTAAGTGTCCTAATACAAGCTTTGCTGCATAGCAAATTTGTTTTATCATCTCCAGATCCAAGAACCTGGTTCTCATAACACCGGGACTTGAGTCTAGTTATGGGTCTAACTAGTTTATTCAGGCAATGCAGATGGAGGTGGATATAGAGTTATATGATTAGGTGGACAGGCTGATAGCACTGGGGATGGGAAAGTCACTGCTACTAGAGGTGGGATTTTGCTGCCACTGGAGATGTGGACTTCACTTCTGTTAGGGATGTGGAAACTTCTTCCACTGGAGAAGATTCATTAGAATTTAGGAGCTTAATGTCCCCAGCTTCATCAGGGTCTTCCTACACATTCTGGTCCCCACTGATAAGGTCCCATTCTTTCCCAATTAATGCCCTCACTTTAACAGTAGACATTTTGTGAGTTTGGGAGTTCAACTGGCATTGTAATTAATTCAATCATGGGATGACATTTTTCTGCCTTTCAGAGCCCATATAAAAGCTCTCAGGTCATTTATAGTATGATTGACCTGGAAAGTTGAACTGCTAAGCTTCTTTTCTTGCACTACCTTTTTAAGCAACCATAAGACCAAACAGCCAATGTCATTTTCTTTGATATTTTTCACAAAATTTTCAAAGATTGAAAAAGACTCATCCAGATCCTCTCTTAACGAAAGGGATTAGCATCATCCAATGCAAACACTTTGTGGGTCTCTAGTGCTAGATCATACCATGAACTCACAGAGCTTTTGCGAGGGGAGCAAATGGCAGAAATGGCTTTGGGAAGATGAGGGGAGCAAATGGCAAAGGTAACTTTGTCTTAGATAAGAGAGACAGAAAGGCATCCTTAAAAATATGTATCTAAGGATATGCGAGGAGCAGGCCTCTTGCCAAGTAATAAAATGCAGCAGTTTTTCTCCTAGATAAGGGAGACAGGAAAGCATCTTTGAAAACAAACATCCAAAGAGACGAGAAACAGGTTCCTCAAGGAAAGTAACACAGCAAATGTCTCACCAAGGTAGCAAAAGGTAGTTATAAAGTATAAATGATGGGCCTCAAGATCAGGACCAGTTGACCAGACCCTCCTGGAATGTCCAGTTCAATAAGGCTGGGGTGGCCAGGTGGCAGTAAGAAGTTGACTAGAATGACATCCAATCACAAACTAGTTTCAAGGTAGAATAGGAGGACCTTAGTCAGGCAGAGCCCTATATCAGCTCCTAGACTTCAGTTTTTCTTTGGCTTAGCTCTTTCACTAAGTCCCACCCTTCAGGGTGCTTAGCTATCCTTTCAATACACTTTGTGCTTGCTTTACTCTTACTTGACCTAGGGAGTTATTCATGCCAACTTGATGAGCTTCCTAGGACTCCTTGCGAAACAAAAGCTATACTTCTATACAAAAAGCAATTACATAACTGTGGCCTGACCTACACTAAGCGTTTTCAATCATCAACTTTGCCAGGACATGAACTTGGGATCAACAATCCAGGATCACTTTCTTTACTACTAGAAATAATCAGTATCATTTTAAAATCAAGTCATATTATGGAGATAGTTTCAGAAACACTAGAATAAATTCACAAAACCTATCCTTAATTTTCTGTTCTTCTAGAAGAACACTCTTGGAGCCAAAATCTGTATTATTCAGGGTTCTCTACAGAAGCAAGTGGCATATCTATGAGGAATGGTTCATGTGATTATGGACGCTGAGATGTCCCATAAGCTAAGGACTACAAGATGAACATCCAGGACACCCAGTGGTATAATTCCAATCTGAGTCTGGAAAGCCATTAAACCAGGATAGACAGTGATGTAAATCCCATTCCAAGGGAGGAGAAGGCTGATGTGTCAGTTTAAGGAGGTAGGCAGGAAAAAAAGGGAGGATTCCTTCTTCCTTTGTCTTATGTTCTCAATGGAACAGATGGAACAGAAGCCCACTCACACTAGGAAGAGAAATATTTGCTGAGATTTGAATTTCAGCAGATTCAATACTAATCTCATCTCTAGTTATCCACACAAACAGATACAGAAATAATGCTTAATCTGGGTACCTTGTAGTGCAATCAA